CAAGAATGCCTTGCCATTGCCCAAAACACCCAAAAACAGACCCAGTCTGTTTGTGGCATCTTTTCTCTCAAAGGGTTTCGTTGGGGGGAGGCAAGCCAACGGGATAATTGCCAATTCTTTTCTTTCTACAAAGCAAAAGTTCTGTTACCTAACAAACCACGGCGTTTGTAAATGGTTTTGGGTTTCTCAAAAAAGTTACTTGGTTTCAACCAAGGCCACAGCAGAGACACCGCCGCAGCCCATGCACAAGATTGTGTTAGGTGGTCGTTTCCCTAACAAGACCGGGTTTGAACAGGTTCTAAAACGTTGTTATTAGTTGCATGCTGCATGTGTTTAAACTTGACATAAACAGTTTGGTTTCAAAGCCACAGCGGTGGAACCGCCGCAGCCCATGCGCAAGATCATGCCTGTCGTTTTGTTTCTCAAATGAACACATGCACCAGAAACGCAGCTGCGACAACGTCAGTTGACAAGTAACAACAGCATGCACTCTGTTCTCCATACTGCTTGCATGCTCGTTGTTTCTGATAGACACTTGTCAACCAAAGGCTGCACTAACAGAGCGCACTTCTCGTGAGCACATGCCTTTTTTCCGCCCAGGCCACCAGTGCAAACTTTGATGTTCAAATTTCCCAGCAGCTTCTCCTTGAAAGCTGGCCAACATCGCAACTGCATAGCTCTACCCATCTCTATGCACATTGCATCGGTGATGCCGATGAGTTCTCGTATGCGTTGGCCTTGAACAGGGATTTTGACAGAAGGCACACGCATGAGGACACGGTCCATGTGGACGAGCATATCCAGCTGCCATCGCTGGAGCAGGGCCATAAGGAGCAGCATGCGGATTCTCTGCCCCACTGTAACTGCACGTGCTCGACGTGAATGAGCCTTGGCTTCGCATTGTGGTCATTGCAGGCTCGTTGGCATGACTCGAAGCTGCACTCTCGGAAGAAGCCATGCGGCGCTGCAGCTCCATGACGATCAACAACAACATTGCAAAAAGGGATTGGATGGACTGCGACTCTATTGGTCCAGTCTCCATGGGGAGACCCAAGACAAAGCAAATAGACACTGGTGGGCCAACAACTTCGTTTGCGTCCGAATAAACCACAGGAAGGTCACAGTCGGTGCATGACATAATTGAAACATGTCCGTGCCAATGCGCATCATGACATCTGTAGCTTAGTCGTGACAATGACACGTCATCACATTAATCTCGCAAGAAGGCCACAGCAGAGACACCGCTGCAGCATTTATGCATCATGCTGTGGCAAGAAACAAAGAAACAAGTGAAGAAACTCTTCGCACTGCCAATTCAAAGCAGCCCCCCTTCTAGTATAGAACTTGCTGTACAATACATGAATCTCACGGGCAGCCCTGACAAGGCGGACTTTTTTGTTCCATCTTTTTCTTTTCTTTGTGCTTCTTCTTGTGCTGTTTGCGGCTAGTCTTGCCACGACCTTTGTCGTAACCATGCTTCTCCCGGAAAACTGCTCTTGCCGATTTCGACAAAGGCTTCTGTGTTACATGAGCTGGCCCATCGGTTGTGGAAGCAGCAGGGCAAGAAGTATCTTCATCTTCAGAGTTGGGTGTAACTGGCGAACTATGCTCAGGGCACGAAGAAGGCTGCGAGGAAGCTGGCATGCCCAAAGCTCGAGTCAACATTTCCGTCAAAGATCTCACAGGTCTTGAGGAAGAACTTTGAGAATTGCCATGCTGCAGCCCTGGGTCTTGCTCGCCGTAACTTTTGCTCAGAAAAAGATCCCAGTCATCTATCTCTTTTTTCAAAGAGGACGGCATGGGCATGGAGCTGGCAGACTTGTCTCGCACATCTGCCTCGCCTCCATGGCACTCATGCATGGCAAGCGCTCGCTGATCGAGACGCGGACAACTAAGTAAACAAGTAAAGTTTTCAGTGCTCATGTGATGCTAGGAAAAACAAAGTTGGCACCTGGTGTTGTCGGCATGTTGGAGCATGTCGACCCTGCATTGCTAATTTTCCAATAGCGCTGGCCCTAGAATCACAGATCCCCCCAACAGGAAAGAAAACTGAGATAAAGGGGGAAACAAAACATTTTGGTGACTTTGTCGGGGTCAGTTTCCAACCTGCTGAGACAACTGGAAACTCGGCAGCCTGCATGCATGTTTCAGCGCTTGGAACTGTGCTGTCTTTGGCATCCTTCCAAGAGAAAAACTTTCAACAAATTGTCCGCTTAAGCCAAAAAAAGAAACAAAACATTTTCGTTTGGCTTCGTGCGTGTCTCATGGCTCTCTCTTGCAGTGACGGCCTGCGCAAGAAATAATTTGACCAGCTAATGGAACATGACTCTTGAACATTGCGGGCAGCAACATTCCAAAGCCACAGCAGGCACACCGCCGCAGCATGTGTCACACAAGATTTTCCCAGATAAATTTGCAACCTTGCAGTCGCCGCATTGCAGCACTCAATTTTTTTTAAACTCCTCTTCCGCAGCCGCGATTTGGCTTTCCACAGCCAGCCAACACAAAATCGGCAAGCATGCCGCTATAGAACGTCTGACCTAAAACTTGTTCTCATCCCATGCCTTTGCAGCTTTGGCCCGGGCTTTGGAAGCCAGCCTCTTGGCCATGTCATCGTCTTTGTTCTTTTTGAACACCCTGTAGTACTCCTTGTGCCAAGCCCTGCTGCACACATTGTCGCGGTCCATTTTCAAAGCAGGCTTAGCAGGCTTAGCACTAGCTGGTTTCTGCATAGGAGCTGCTTTGGCAGCAGCTGGCCGTTTCATCTTCGAACTTTTCTTTGCCTTTTTCTTGTCATCCCGCTGTGTCAATTTGTTCAGAAGCGATTGGCCAGGCTCCAACTGCTTCTCCTTTTCCTCCTTTTCCTTTCGTGCTTCATCACTTTCCACCTGTGGTGGATCTTCCACGGTTGCCTGTGGAACGGGCTTATCAAGGATAGCAAGAGGTGCAGGAACTGCTGCTCCACCAACGAGATTGGACAACTTCTCTTCTGAAGCTGTGCGAAAGTCATGCGCGGCCTTCTTCTCAGCGAGCGAAGCCGAAGAAGGAGGCGGAATCTTCTCGGCAGCAGATGAGCTGGCCGGTTCAGCTGGCACATCAGCTGTCAAAGCACGAGGTGGTGCACATGGTGTCTTTGAAGTCTCGCTGTTTGTAAATTGCAAATCAATATGATTGTCTCGGTTCTTGTGCATCATGATCGCCTGCATGGACTGAAGCATCATTGGCATAAAAGCCTGAAACATCGAAGCCACTTGCTCCGACGCTTGGGCATGAGTTGCAGAAGAACGCTGCACCGCACTCTGGCTGGTAGCATCTCGCAATTCCAAACGTGTCGTCCTTTGAGGAATGCGAGTATACAACTCCAGCAACTCAGGCCCCTTGGCCTTGCTCGGACAAGGCTTCTCACTTCCATAGGCATGCCTCTTCGCATCCTCAGACAACTGCTCAGGATCATCTGGCAATGTCAGAATGTGAGGAGGATCAACTCCGGCAAGGTGCTCGCTTTTTTTCAAACGTTTGGAAGCTGAATTCCAAGCTTCTTTCACAGTCGTGAAAGTCGACCGCAACTCAAACGGTGTCTTGGAAGGCTGGTACAAGAGCAAGAGAGCTGTGATCCAAGCCTTGCTTCCCTCGGAAGGGTTCCGCAAGCCAAGGCGCCATAGATGACAGATGATTCGATCCATAGCGTCCCTGAAGGGTTTCTGTTCCAAAGCTTGCCAAATGCTCTCGGTCAGGAAGTGATCCATGCGAGACCAATCTTGAGATTTGCTACGGGTCTTGTCCGTCAGAACCCTTGTGCCCTCCATTTGCTTTGTCACCAGTTGCTGTAAGGATTTCTTTTCATTTTCGTCAAATCCGGCACAGCCACTGATGGCAGCACTGACATGCAAAGCTTGGTCTACAGTGAAGCTCAGAGCACCTAAGGTTTTCTTCACGGCTTCTAAATGCACCAGGCGATCGACGCCATCCTGCGTTTCCAGCAGCTTCGAAAGGGCAGTCACGCTGTCGACAGCTGCGTCTGCCATGGCAAAAAAATATAGTTCCAAAACCAACACTAGTATTCCGAACGCAACATCTCCAGAAGTGCAGTGATGTCTGCTACTGCCTGCCACGTGCGTTTGATTTCAAGAGCCTTCTTTTTTGATGGCAGATATTGCCGGTAGCGATTTTAGTACTATGTCAATGCAACATTCGAAATAAAACAGGAACAGCTAAAAACTTGGGCGCAGATTCCACTCACGGCGTATGGAGGAAAAAGAACAAACAGAGCACAGCGGACACACCGCCGCACTCCATGCATGGTGCAATCGTGCAGAAAAATGCGACTCCGACACGACAAAAAAAACGCAACTGTTGCGCAATATATAGCATGAGGCTTTCACACATGAATATATAATAAACATCTATACCGACTTGCGGTTTCGAACTCCATAAGTTCTAGTCTTAACACCAAGGGACCAAGGCACAATAAAAGCCACAGCAGGCACACCGCCGCAGACAGGTAGGAAACAAAACGCGCAAGGTGGCTCACATGTATCTCAACATATACATCTGTCAAAAATTTCCACATAGTACTAAAAGAACCTAAAATACAAAATATGATGCTATAGAGAAACCCCAACAAAAACGCAGGCTATAAAACGTGAAATGATGACCGCAACTGCTTAAACAGCAAAAGCAAGCCCCACACAAAACTCAAACTTCCGCGTCCGTTTTATACTTTAACATTTAAGTAGTTAATAACTTTTATAACTTTTTCGCTCAGAAAAGACGCTGCAAATATATATCATCTACAAAAGCGCCCAAAAAAGTCATATGAATCGTAACACTCTCCAGAAAGTTATACCACTTAGCAAACCTATACCAAGTTGTTTCCTATGTTACCGCAACGTATATATCATCTTGCATGGGGTTATAACATTAAACAACTAAACCGAACCACATGGCATTGGCCAACCATCCTATTTTTGGCCAGGACGGCATTGGAAAAACATGTGGCCATGCTGGAACAGGCCTTTCCGGTGGTTCCTTTCCGGTGGTTTCTGCATCCAATTAGGATCACTATAATGTCAACTATTAGATATAGTATATATTAGATATATTAGATATCTAATTTATGATACATGATTATAGATAGATATATTATTTTTTAATCATACACTAACATGAAATATTCTAATATGTTCATTTTCACGTCAGCATCGGCTTCCTTATTCTGAGCTGTCAAGTGGCGTTCTGAAAGGCAGCAGCGGCATTTGCCTTCGCATCTGGCATGGCGGTATCTTGGTGACAACTAGTGACCATTCTGTGTCGTTCTCTCAGAACAACCTCACTGCGATGTCACTGAAATTATGCTTCTAGGTAATGGCTAACTATCCCCGAAATGATCATAACTGATCTAAATAAATGATCGAAAATCAGCTTGGTCAATTTATCCAGATCTATCCAGATCTAGCCAGATCCATTGAGATCCTCACTGGTAGGATTTCACCAAGGCCCTCCACACGGTGATGCGCTTGCTGAAGCACGGTGACCAGGTGGGGACCCCGAAAATGTCGGAGTTATGGTGACATAGACAACAGGAACACCGGTAAATCAACATGCTTATTGGTTGTATGTGGTTGGTAATCAACATGGTTATTGGTTGTAGTTGTTTGGTTGTTATTGATGTTTGTTTGGTTGTTGTTGATGTTTGTAGTAATCCTTGGATATCCTTGGAACAGTTCCATGGAGATGGGTGAAAAACGGCTCAGGTCATCGCAAATGAAGACATCTATGGCGGGATGCATCGCTTGTTGACACAGGACCAAGTCATCCAAGTCATCCAATCCGTTTTTCATGGCACCTTGGGTGATGTCCAGTGATTGCAGGATCCCAACATGTCCCAATATGTCCATGTGTGAAGCTGTGGGGCGCCCTTAACGTGAGCCATATATTTTTAAAATGTTTGGATGTGACCAGATCTCGTGCGGAGAAATAGATCTATTGACATGTCATTGTCAAACGGTAGCAACCATGAATTATATCCCTGAGGTTTTGACGAACCAACCATTCTCACAGCTGATCTGTGTGTGTCTAGCAGTGCTAGGGTTGGATCAGTCCCATGCATTTCAGATTTCATGGTACCATATGGTACCCATCACAACCCCGCAGGACTGCACAAACAGTGGCATTGACGTGTTGCTGGCATGGCCAAGGGTCGCGGCTGTGGCTCCAAATATCTCACAGGACTCGCACACCATCGTTCATGATCTTTCATGATCTTTCATGGTTTCTTGGTCTTGTAATGTGGCAAACCCATTGCCATAAAGCTACCATTTGGGCCACATTAGGGGATGGTTTGAATCCCACCCATAGGAATGGTGATACTGTATTGGGGATGGTTTATAGTTGGGTTTACCACATTACCAATGCCATAAACCTACCATTTGGCGATGGTTTGTTTCTACCACCCATCAAACTAATATGGTGATGACTTGGGGACGGTTTATGGCATTGGGTGGACCCACATTATTCCAACTATCCATTATTCATCTCTGATTGTTAGTTATACACCCATTATTAGCCATGATGTGCCAATATCATTTTTTTTCTAGTAATTAACCATTATACAACCATTATTATCCATTATTCATCATTATTTACCATTGCATTATATTAAACCATTATGAACCATTCTCAACTATGATCAACCAGGATACACCTTTGATTACTCGTTAGTAATCATGAAAAAAACCACTGCTTTCCCAGTCATCTTCCATGGCTAATCGGCTTGGCCTCGCCAGGTGAAGTTTGTCGACACCACCGATCTGAATGCTCTGAGCAAGGCGATGGCGTTTTTGGGTCCGGCGGATCGCCCGCGCTGGCGACGTAGGTCGCGACGTAGGTAAGGCGCTGGGTGATTGAGGAATCTTTGAAAATGATTAGATGGATAAGATTAATCATGATGAATGTATGAGAATGTATTGGATATATCATGAAAACCTAGGTCATCATCTTGGATATCATTAGTATTAGAATGTATCATTAGTATTAGAATGTATAACAGACTATACTGTAGATGATGATATATGATGATCATGTGATATAGGATATGTAAGAAACTTTTTTGTTGGTAGATGTTGATAGATCATCTATGGTCTATTTACAGATTACCCCGTAAAGTTCAGCCAGAAAGTTGCCGAACAAATCACTGGGGATGGATCTGAGGCGATCACTCCCAAAACTCGGCTCATCCATTTGGAGAGCCCGTTTGGGGAGCCTGGTGAAACGCCTGCTGAAACGCCCTTTGTGGGACTTGCCGAATTTGGGTACTATGATGTACTATGTGTTATATAGAAGCTATGTTGTACATATGATATACATATGACATACCGACATAATATTTGATATATGATTATATTAATATATATATTTTTCCTCGGCCTTTGAGATATCTCGTGCCATGCATGCAAGCCACACCAGGAGAGGTCTCAAACTGGTTGATAATCGGGCATCATCTGGCCTTCGCTATCAATGGTGGCAGATTTCTCAATGAATTCAAACATCTCAGGGTGCGCAGCATGCTCTTCGCCTTGCAGGTGGAGGCGGGCAAAGCGCGCACTAAAAAAAAGTGCAAAAGCTCTGGAGAGCGCACTCGGATACTCCTTGGCCTTAGCTGTACGAAAACGGCCAGCAGCATCGCGTCCTATCAATGGCACATTCGGCTTGGTGGCATCACTTAGCTCACAAGCCTCCAGTGCACTTGGAAGCGATCCATTGCTGTACAGGAGCATGGTCGGCTTGACACCCTCTGCGCCGTAACGCCATTGGTGTATCGTAGTGCGACGGAAAGAATCTCCTCCTCGAAGTAGAAGACATAGTATTCCACTCCGCCACACCGATGCAAGGTCCTCATCGTAGGGCATTGCAGGGTGCTCCAGGACAATTGATCCGGAGTGGAAGGTCACCGCGACCGACAGCCAGATGCCCTTGAGCAGCAGGCAATTGCCCACGCTAAGCTGCAGCAATTCCGCCAGCGAGAGTAGGGGTAATCCCCACAAATCAGCAGCTGTGCGCAAAGGGCGAGGCCCACGTCGATCGTCACCAGGTAGAGGATGTCCGCGCGCTGCTGACCATGTCTCGCATGGTGGCCCAAGAAGCAAGGCCAACAATCTGCCAGCACGGGCATAGTCCAACAGATGGTTCCACAACGCAGGGCTGTGGATGTTCATACTGTGGTGGATCGCGGTGTCGACGGAGATGACGTAGACACATCCTCGTAGTGCCGGGTGATACTGGTTGATGTAGTGCTCCATCCAATGTTGAAAATCTTCTTCTCGCCTGCGCCCAGAATAAAGGTGCACCACGTAGTAGGGCCCATGGGGCGCAACTGGTCTCCGCTGCGGGCTGTGCAGGAAACGCCAGCGTCGATGCTTGGTTTCGTGAGCTGCCAGGCCGCAATATTTCATCGGCACATGGTGTACACGATCATAGGGGCGATGAACCTCAGGAGGAGGTGGTGCATCAAATTCGGGATGATCAGGTGGAAGATTCATCCAGCGGTCCGTGAGAACCTTCATTCGAGCACGGATTTGCCATGTAGGCAGATCTTCCAACATCGCTGGGTAGGCACGCTCCAAAAGGAACGCAATGTCCGGGTCAATGTCAGCGGGGCAATCATCGTACAAGTGCTTCTCGATCCAGTGGATGAATAAGCGGCATCTCTGAGGATCTTCTGCTTCCAAGGTGAAAAGGGCACCAAACATCACATTCTGAAAGTCAATCTCTGTTGGGTGTTGCATGTTAATCCATTCATGCAAAGCTGCCCGGAGAAGGTCATTGGCTTGTTGAACCAATGGTTCATCATCAGACGGAAACCACCATGCACATTCGGGCTTCCCTTCAGCTCTCATGGCGACAATATCCTGTCGCAATGCAATCCGCAGTCTCTGAACACTTGTCGGTCGAATGGGTCCGTAGTGTCGTCGTACTGCTGGAAGGCGCTTCACCTTGTGCAGATGCGTTGGCAGTTCGATGGTCACCGGAGTGTCTGGTGCTCGAGCTCCATAAATGCGATCCCAGCATCCATTCCGTCGATAACGGAGATGTTGAGTCACCCGGAAGGTGGTGTGGTAATCTTTCAAACATCCTGGGCAAACTGTGGATTGTGCATAGTGTCGTTCCTGAGCAACGATACCGTGTCTGCGAAAGGCATGAAGTGCAAGCTGTTGCATAGTAGGAAAGCTCTGGGAGCAAAATGAACAGCCATGCGCTGGTGTCGTCAGAGCTTCTCCATCTTCTGGGTCAGCCAGAGAGCCTCCAAAGCGCTGCAATTCCTGGATGATCTTGTCATGATACATCGACACTTCCCAAGCTAATTTTTCCTGCAGGAGATGCTTCTTGCACGCTCGCTTGACTGTATGCTTCCAAGGCTGCCATGACGCAAGAGTATCCCAGAAATCATGCCACATATTTGCTTCTACCGGAATCACAAATGGGATGTCGACAAGTGTTTGCATCCATCTCAGTTCATGTTGAACCTCATGAAGCCATCCCTTTCCAGTGCGGAACTCCTCAATCAAAAGGTCAAGGTGGACAGGAAGGCCATGTCGTGCGAGGTGTTGCAGAAACACAAGACGATGGCGTGCCCAATGAATGCGAAATGGCATAAGTTGATGTGTGGCAAAGAACTCCTCATCATCAATGTCCGTCGCATTCCAAAACCCATCATTGTAAATGCTCCGGTAGTGCTTCACAATCATTGCCTCAAGCTTCTTCAAGGACGAGGTTGGAACGTCGCTCCAGACAGAGCAGCCGTACAGCAATCTGGAAAGGACCAAGCTTTCATAAAGTTTGGTTCTCGCATCAGCGGCCAGAGCATGGTTGCCAAAAATTGCTTTCCTCATTTCAGCAAAGGCCTGTTGGGCCATCGCAATGCGACTGGCAATTTCCTCCTGGATGTCAATGTCCATCGTATATCGTGCTCCGAGATGCCGATAGGACGGAACAACTCGTAGAGATAGCACATGAGTCGAGGTGGCAGTGACGATGGTCGGAGGAACAGCTGTGTCGAAGAGGTCAGATCGATGGGCGTTGGCATCTCGTCCTCGATACATCATGACTACTTCCGTCTTCCCTTTCTGCATGTTGAGAGAAAGGCCAAATCGCTGGAAGGTCGTGTGGAGCATGGCAATGACCTCCTGCACAAGCGGTCGGAGGTGTTCTGGCCGGGTGGTTGCTAGCGGCACCGCTAGGTCATCCACCCATGTAATGGGAGGTACCTCAAGCCCAAGGGAGTTCTGTCCTTGGCAATGGAGAGAGCTTTGATGAAGTTGCTCTCGAAGAAGTTGAATGATCTTGGCCATGAGCAGGTTGAATCCAATGTCAGCCAAGGGTGACCCAGGGCGCGTGCCTCTTCTGGTTTCGGTGGTTTCATTGCCTTCGGACTTCAATTGGAACCAAGTACTTCGATGTACGTCCGCAAGGCATTGGCGAAGAGCAGGGGGCATGTCATTTGTGCGGTGTAGAGTGGCCTGATAAAGGTCAGCTGCTAACTCCTCCAAATTGAAGTCCATGGGATCCAGCACTGTACGCAGCTCATCAAACTTCAGAGGCGAATCTTCTGTAAAGATGAACTCACGGAGTAGATGATGGAATGCCGAGCGGAGGTCCACAAATATCACCGCTGTTGAGATGCACCGTGCTCGTCCAAGCCGTCCATGCAGACGCAACATTTGGATGCCAGATGTGGTCTGTTGTGATGGCAACCCACCTAGTTGGCCCAACGCTCGCCGCGTGAGCATGGTGGGTAGAAGACGGCGCCGCAGCCATGCATGGTATACCTTGCCGTAGCTCTCGCTCAAGAGAATTCCACGGTAGGATTCCGCTTGGTGTTGCGGTCCCTTCTGCTTCCATATGGGCATCAGATATCCACCTTTATATCGGCATGGTTCCATGGCGGAGAGAAAGGCCTTGAGCATGACTCCATGCAAATGTGGTGATACCGCTGCAGCGCCGTAACGACATACATTTGAAGAGATGCCGTCTGGTCCTGGTGCTTTGTGAGGACGTTGACGTAGGCATAGATCTTCGGTTTCCGCCAGGGTGGGAAGTTCAGCAAGATCGATGTGAGATATGCATGGTTGGTGGTCAACATTGTGCACGTTCCGCTCTATGCATCTCTGTCTCAGTGCATCGGCTGTTGTGGTTGTGCCTGCTTCAAGTTGCTCAAAATGTTGAAGTAGTGCATCACCTAGATCATATCTCTGGACAGATCGTCGTAGACGCTGCTTTGGGAGCACAGCCTTGATGCGTTTCCAGAGCGCAGTCAGACCCTCCACAGAGAAAGTGTGGGCCGCTTGTTGAGCAAGTTCATGGTAAAAGGCTCGATCTTCAGCACGGACTGCTTCAGTGACCTGGCGTGTGGCCTTGTGTAGCGACTGCATGGTGATGGCAGTCGCATGATCATTGAGCTTCAGCCAACTTCGAACCACTTGGTTTTGTTGTGGCTGGCGCCAGGCCTGAAAGATAGCCTGCAGCTGGGTCAGTATTTTGGTTCGTTTCAGGGCTCGCAACTGCTTGAAGAGGTACTTCTTGCGGCAGACAAGGTCCCACGTGGCCTCACTGAGGTGAACTTTGCGTGGACTTCGCCTGGTTCGTGGAAACAGCCGCTGTATTGCATGTTGCGTCTGAGTGGCAAGGGCATCCGCAGTCACATGTGGATCGCAGCACCAAGGGGGCATTTGAATGCCTTCATGGAGCGCATGAAATGTCTCTGTGTGTTGCATTGCACTGCAAAAAGACTCATGGGAGCCAAGGTTGCTTCGGGACATTCTGCTTGGCCTGGCTGCATCATCATGCATTTTGGTCACTTTGAGAGTGATGTGGCAGAGGACCGGTAGATGATCAAGGCGCCAGGTGGTGATGTCAATGTCCTCTTCAACCCATGTGCGTATAGAGTCATAGTGCAATGCTTGTGGCAGGGCAATGTAGTCAATACGCGTGCTATGATCACCATCAGGGGAGACGTACGTGTAGTCGATTGCCCCAGTATGGTACTGAGAGAAAGTCGCTGGAACAAAGAGGCTCTGATCAAGCAGCCATTGATGAAAGGCAGCACCTGCTTCATTCTCTCTGCGAGCATGTAGGCTGCCTACCGCATCAGTGGTCTCATCCCCAAGATGGCCGTTAGTATCTCCCAAGAAGAAAACCGGCCATGTGCGGGCCAACTGCCGTATTCTCGAGGTGATATGGTGCCAAAACTGCTCAG